CTCACCAGTGCTGTTTTTTTTCCCCCTAGGCGCATTTCTGCCCCCACCCCCTTGGTCTTCATTCAGTATACATATTGAATAACAAAATCCAGCAGTGTAGCAGAAAACCTTGTGATGGATTTTAAATTCCTCCTTTGAAAAACTCTTATCTTTTAAGAAGATTAATTGGGATTATTGCTGATAAATGAAATGCCAGATTGCTTATTGATGACGTGATTTAAGGTAGAGAGCAACAAGATCCTAAAATTATCCAGGCAGTTCTGCAGTCACGTTGACTGTCACTGTGGCAATGAAGTGCATGTAACGATACGATAAAGCTTAAGGGGGTAAATGAAGGGTAGAAAGAGGAATAGAGAAAAATATTTGGACAAGTAGGTCTGGTCAAAAAATAAAGTATTATGCTTTAGGAGAAATAAAATGCTATGATTTGAGCTTCTTAGCTTACCTGTCTGCAGGAAGCTCAAGGCAAGGAATTGTTTGAAAGAGAACAGTTGTGGAACAGTGTTTCACTGGAGCTTCAGTCTAAGTTGCTGTGTGTTGGGGGACTGGAGATTCATAGACTAGTGGTCACTGTGCTCGAGAGTACTTATTCTGATGCCTGAAAATTAATTAATATCTGGCTTAGGCTGATTGTGGTTTAAGAAAACTGATGCCTCCCTGTGTTTGCAACTAACCAGAAAGAACACGATCATCTTTGTCACTTAATGATACTGATATCCAATACTAAATGAGGTAAAGCATCCTTCCGGCTTCTGTTGCATGCTACCTCTATCTAGGTCACTTCGTAATCTAATGCTGGTAGGAAAAGGAGAATTGTGAGGCTAGGGGGTAATTCTTAATAGATCACAGTATAATTCACAAATATTTACAAGTGTTCAAATAAAATTGAGTAAGTTTTCACTGAAACGTGGCTTTGTTTTGAACCATTGTGAGCCACAGCAACTTCCAGCATCATTGGCAGTAACTTTAATTAGGGTCACATTATAAACTGTAAAGAAAATATCAAATCAGTTTACAGAGTATCAAATGCCACTGAAATTTCTTCAGGCTTTTGTTCTGCCAAACCAACACTTGTGACGCACTTCTGTTGCAGTTCAAATTCTGCAATTTAATCTGAAGTAGATTGCATTGTTCTACCTTGAAACCATCCACCTGGACACAGTTTGCGTTAAGCTATGAGGTACAGTCCCTCAGTACAATATTTGCATTTGTATAACCATTCAAGAATCCACCTTTTACTGTACCATTGGAGAAAGGTAATGCTTTGCTATTAAGACATTCACTACCGAAGGGGCTCCTATCAAAATATCAAGACCATTCTAACCTTTTATTACTGTCATCCTATAGATTGATTCTGTTAGTAGCATTCTCTACTCTGGGTCAGAAGGTTATGGGTTCAAGTCTCGTAGTGTGAGGCTGACACTCGTGTCGCACGGCAGAAGTACTGCATTGACTGTTGGTTCCATTCTTTGCTAGAGACATGACACTAAGGTCTGCCTACTCAAGAGGATGTTAAAGGTCCCATGACACAACTCAAAAAAGAGAAGGGAGTTTTTCCTGTAAACCTCATCAACAGTGCTTCAGATAAAACTCGCCTTGTGGCTCATTGTGGGACCTTGCTGGTTGCTTTTTTTGTCTCAAGTCACTACACTGAACAGCAATTACTATAAAAGCACTTTGTGATACTTAACCTCATTGAAGTGCCAGCCAGTCCCTTGACAGTAATTTGATTTTGAAGCAATTAACTGTAAAGCACTTTGAGACATCAACAATATAAGATAATATTAAAATCAATAATCCTTACATTTGATATGTCTCCTTATTGTATTGAAACGTCTCAAAGCACTATTTGCAGACAAACTCAGTGGCCAATTTGCACGCAGCATCCAATTTGCATACAACAATGAACATACAACAACGAACAGCCATGAAGTAAATAATCAATTTTTTTGACAAAGGTAAACTGGAAAAATTCCCACCTTGGTTTAAATGATGCCTTGAGATCTTTAATGTTAATTTGAACAAGCAGAGTCTGTCTTATTAGACAGGTGGCGTTTGACAGTGCAACACTCCTTCAACACCTCATTGAAGTGCCAGCCTTCATAAGTATTCAACTGATAACTTTCTGATCCAGATGTGGGAGTGCTTATAACTGAGCTAAAATGAGATCTGAAAATATAAATCCTTTCTTCATGAAAATTTGATCTATGAAATGAAACTTCTTATCCAAATTAAACAAAGTGATTGCTGTGTTGCTTTTGATTGTCGACTACATTTCTGTCAGTCTCTGTTGTGCTTCTCACAATACACCACCACTCCTTTTATTTTGTGTGTTTCATCATTTTATTTTGTCCAGCTAGTCTACTGTAATGCCTTATAAACGGTTACTATCCTTATTAAAAACCTAAACTGGCCAATGAGTTTTCCATTACATTGCTAACTACTGAATCAGTTGACAGACTTGGGTATCAAATATACCTGAGTCCAGATTGTGCTGCTGTAACCTTCACTGATTCTCCTTGTGAATTTAACCGTGACTTTGCTGCACCTATTTCAGTCATCAAATGCAAATAGGACTTAAACTGCTAAAATTCTACTGTTTTGAAGGAAAATCTGAATTGATTTGAAATAAACCCAAATTATGGTTCTTTTTGTAAAGGTGGTAGAATTAATTGCAGGTGGACCTGTGACTACATTTGCTACCTGTTGGAATATGGAATATCTTTGCTGCTGGCCATTTGATCCTGACTGCACTTTAATTTGAAATGTACAGCCATGCCATGCTGAGTGCTAGTAGTATAAACCAGACACATTTTACTGGGCATATTCAAAAGGAGATATTGGAAATATGTCACTTCAGTCCAAAAAAAGTTTTTTCCATTTATATAAGTACCCTTCATGTGGGGTGGTGTTATATAAGCGTCCTTCACGTGGGATGGTGTCCCAACAGCTTATGACCTATGTAAGCCAGTATGCATATGACCTACATTTGGATGTATGTATGTCAGGGAAATTTTTGTATCTTAAGTTGCACGTCTGTTGTAATTCATGGAAATATTATACACTGGAAATTTGATCCCATACATTATTGTCACCCGATGGTTATTCTGAATCATTCAATGATAAATCGACCCGCTAAAATACCCAGGTTTTTATGTTGTGGTTTAAACCTCGACTTAAGTGGCCTTAAATTTACTGAATGCAACTTTCAGAAATGCTGGAATATAAAATTCCTCAATCCATATTATAAAACTAATCCCTCATTTCAGGTCTTGCTGAACGCACTTTTCTGCAAGTATTGAGTTCCCCATACTTTCATTTTGATTCATCGTGGGCTGCGTACAAATCATTTTTCTTTTACCAACTATTCCATTCCAGATGAAAGAACTTGCATTTTTACAGTGTCATCACCTCAAACTCAAAAGCGCTTCACAAGCTATTACTGTTGGGTATAGTGACTTTTTATAGCCGAGCACAGCAGCATTTGGGGAAACCCATCCCATACTTGGAGGTATCCAAAACAGCCTGAGCTCCACATTTGACACCTCGCACTGAAATTTCCTTTTGCCGGGAATAGAATATGAGGGATGCACCCTGCTTACCTAATTCCAGAGAGTACAGTATTAAGCATAGTTTTGCAAGAACCTGGACCTTGAGACCCAGAGTGTGCTTTGGAGTACTGCCACAGCTTAACCAGCTAAAACCACATAACTTGCCATTGAGAGGACTGTTTAGCTTTCTGCTGTTTGGCCAGCTAAGACATTACCCATTTCAGGGGGTAACCCGACAGAACTGGCTCAGGAAACGGACTCCCGAGACTACAACTGAGGATTGACTCTATTCCAACATTCCTTTCCCAAGCATGTCAACGTCACCTAGACTCCAGCTCACCTTGCTTACCTCTTTCTCCCATCTCCCCACAACCCCCTCCTTACAGAGCAGTTCTCTTTGGGGAGGTGGAGAGGAAGAGGAGATAAGCAGTATACAGTGACTGACTGGTTTTGGGCATTGTTCATTGTTTGTATTTTTTATCAAGCAAGATTTATTTGTGCAAACTCAAACATTCAGTTACAGAAACACTGGATGCAAAAACCGTTTGGTGCAAGCTCCAATAAATGCATAGCTGATTTGATGTATTTTTATAGTGAACCTTGAGTAATTCAGTCTCTTAAAAAATGAAGTATAGTAATCAGCTGCAAACAGTCACAAGACTTTGTGCATTGATAGCGCTGTGAATCATTTACACACTCACAAACAAGTGTTCTGCCTCTCAGAAGCAGAATGTAAAACAAGATAAAGCAGAGTGTTCAATTGGCAGAGTTTACTGTAACAGTAGCTGACAGTTCAGTTAGCTTCTCCATTATCCCATTGATATGGGAGACAAAGCAACAATAAATAATTAGGTTGCTGTTTTGCTGCTATAAATCTGATGAAAGGGATCATCGTTTTAAATTAAACTTGCCCTTTTGATGATGATTCATGTTTGATGTATTGCTAGCTCTGCTTTCCCATCACTATAAATTGTAAAGTAGAAAGTTGAATTAATTTAGGTGGAAATGTGGTTACTGAACATCTCGTTTGCTTTAAGCTTTCCCCCTCCCCCTCCAATGTCACAATCAAAGTGTTATTTTTGCATAGCCCTGCTTACACCCACAAACGGCCTTTTTATACTTGCATCAGTTTGTTGGCAAATGTTGTATTTTTAAAAGTTTATACTCCACATACAACAACAGAATTACATTTGTATAGCCCTTTCACGTCAGGAAGACGTTGCAAGGCGCTGAATAGTATTAAACAGAACTGAGGAGTGCTTATCCATATATAATGTATTGGTCTGTAATATACTTGACAACATTTTTATTGTATTCTGAAATAACACTTGTATATTTTGTGCTTTTTTTTACTTCTCTAACTTTCTCTCGGAAGGTTTTGTAATTGAGTTTGTGATACTGTTTCCTTATAATTTGTCTTAAGACTAATGGAACTTTTTTGTCTTGCAGATTTTTGATGATTACTATCATTTCCGGCACCAGGGTGTGGTGAAAAGATCATTGACTCAACAGAGTTATCATGCACAAAAACTGAAAAGGGAACCTCAGGTATATGAAGACTTATATATACATTTATACATGCATACATTTAGTCATATTACCTTCACTTTGTACTTTGGGCTCTTTTTGGGTACCACTGGTCTTTCTTTTCAGACATTTTCTTAGTGCCAGAGACTTCGATAAGTATAAAACCTCAACGATTTTCAAGTTCCACATTTGGGCTTTAATACATCAGTGGGGACCGAATAACTACAAAAAAATTGATATGAAGAGCCTGAAATGATACTGAATTCCTCCCGAGTGCATTGAAGTTCCATTTCAGGGCACTAATGATGGTCACACCTCATTGTTTCGAGTTAATACCTCCATGTTTCAGCAAGCAGTCTACCAGCAAATACACAAGGGACATCTTCTGAGCCTATTAAAATGCTTGACTGGTTTGATTTCCAATCTTCTTCAACGGGAATTTCAATAAATTGGTAGTCAGTACCTGGAGTCTTATGTCCTAACATGCACTACACAAATATTTCAAAAGTGGAATGTTGATCTGGGCTTTCTGTGCTCTTCTTTCCATGATATTACTGGCATAGAACCTGAACTAGGAGTTTACACAGAGGAGTAGGTCAAATTTTGCTTGTCTCGATTGTTTTCTGCACTGAGAATAGACAATCTTATTTTCATGGCATTAAAATATTTTAATGGTTTCCGCCAACAAAGACGTTCAGACGGTCCAATTAAATGTTCACCACCTCCTTCCTTTCCACCCCCTTCCCGGAGACTTTAAAAAGAATTGAACATTATGACAATAGGACATAATGTTGATTGAGAGCCCATTTCAGCCTACCACACCTCTTTTCCAACAAATATGAATGACTACAGTTTTGTGAAAGGGAGCAACTGAGGAAGGAAGCATACAGTGTAGTGACTTGGATCGAACCTTTATTTAACAAAGGAAATAGATTTCTCCTCCCTCCCCCCCAACCCCCAAACAAACCAACAGGATACAGCTTGTAGTGTAATGAACCAATACTTTCAGAATATTCCCACACAAGATGACCTGACATAGCATGCCAGTCCCTTGCTTCTTGCCTTACAGTTTCTGTCCTTTGTGGTCTAGCACATATTTCCTATAAATGACCTTCGGTTGTTTTTAAGCAGATTTCTCCTGACTGCAGAGTAAAACAGCAAAGTGGAGCCTTTCATATTGGGAGGAAGTCTCAAATTGCTCCACAGGATTTACTTTAAAGTGTAGACTGCTTTGTTGCGCACAAGAATATGTCACAAAGAGCCATAAATAGGACAAGGGGTAGTGCCGAAGAGGGAGGGGGAGCACTGCAATTGTTTATGGTGGCAGCCTTCGGGTGAGACATTAAATTCTGACCAGGTGATTGTTAGAAATCCCATGATGCGGTTCAAAAAGAGAAGGGAAGTTTTTCCCAGTGTTCTGACCCAACAATTCTCCAGATACATTGATCGTTCACTTCATGGCTGTTTGTGGGACCTTGCTTTGTGCAAATTTGGTGGCACATTTGCCTACAGATGCAGTCACTATACTTTACAGTAATTCCATATGAAGTGTTACAAGACGTTTCAATGTTATATGTGTTCTATCAAACCAGGGACAGCATTTAATCATTCCTGTTGCAATGCGAAACTCAAGTCTTGTGCTATGTTGCTTGTGGTTAATACGTGAAAGTGACATTTGCTTTGCTGTGACATGGTGCTAAAGGTGTCAGTGGCAGTTAAAAGAAGTGTCTATGCAGAGTCAGCCCCTCCTTTTCTTTAGAGTAGTACTGTGGTTATAACACCAGTTTTTCTGTAGGTCGAAGAATGCTATGTAATCTCTGCTAATGAACCTTGTACTTGAGAATGCTGGTGAACAGGCAATGTCTGTTTTGTCGTGATTGCCTATTGATATAATTTATGGGTATTGTAACTTAGTGGGGAAGTACTACAATGACCAATGTGGGAACTCACCATGTGGAGAGCTGGGTGAGACTGCCTTATTCTGGCGCAGCTCACTGAGCTTTCTGATTTATAAAACGTGCTATTTTGCCCCATATACAAATAAATGGCTGCTGTAAATCAAAATTAAAATTACCCTCAAATGGCTATCATTTGTTTAATGAAACGAGACAGTGGAATACCTCAGGTGCTGGAGGCAGAATTATCTCATTGATTCTTGTGGAACAGATGCTGGAATTTTGCTACATGATTGCAGAAAGCTGAAAATCTGCTTCAACGCATGATCATCGAATATTTAAAGCCGAATTGCTGGAACCATAAACAACTCATTTCTGTGTTGCGGCTTTAGGCATAGAGGAATTGTGAGATCCGGCTTGGGAGCATTAAATGATTTACAGTAAAAGTTAAATAATTGCACAGTATTGGTTTCTGTTATTAACCACTGACTTATTCCATTCTAGAGATTTTCTTTCCCAGCCATCTGCTCCAACTCACAACCTCCCCCAAGTTTAAATATTAGCTTTGTTTGTGCTGTCACTTGTTGACTTGTATTAACAATGAGCTGTGGAGGGTGGTGGGGGAAGGAGGGTAATCGGAGGCATGGGTGAAGAGGAGGGACTTGAAGGAGGTAAGGGTGGGGGCGAGGCGGGAGGACTGTGGGATGAAGTTCCAGAGGGTGGGGCAGAGTGGCTGAAGGCCTGGCCGCCAAAGGCGAGGGGGGGATGTGAAACAGGCCGGACCCTGCTGAGCAGAGGGAGCGAGCCAGATGGTAGGGGGGTTAGGAGGTCGCAGAGCCAGGGGTGAGCAAGACTATGGAGGGCTTTGAAGGTGAGGATCAGGATCTTGAACTGTATCCTCTGTGTGATGGGAAGCCAGTGGAGTTGGGTGAGGATGGGGTTGATAGGGACACAGAGCCTGGAGCGGGAGAGGACATGGGCTGCAGAGTTCTGGATGATCTGCAGCCTATGGAGGGAAGAGTTGGGAAGGCCGACAAGCAAAGAGTTTGCATTGTCAAGCCTGGGTATTATGAATGCGTGTATGAGGGTTTTGGCGGCCTGCAGTGTGAGACAGTGGCAGAGCCGGGCAATGTTGCGGAGGTGGGAGAAGGCAGAGCGGGTCATGGCATGGATGTGGGGTAGAAAGGATAGTTGAGGGTCAAATAAGATGCCAAGGTTCCGGACAATTGAGTAAGGTGGTGTGTGCATCCTTGGATACACAGCATGTTTATGGGGCTGAACCTTTGTGAGTTCTAAGCAAATATTTGATATTGTAATTTAAAATGCTTCTATCAATAAGTTTCCTTTTGGCTCATTTGGTAAAATCTTGCCTCTGAGTCAGAATGTTGTGGGGTCAAGTTCCTCATTAGAATTTGATCTCACAGTCGAGGGTGATACTCCAATGCAGTGCTGGGTGTGTGCTACATCGTCGGAGATGCCAAATTTTTTAGATGCCATGTTTTCAGATGAGACATTAAACCGAGGTCCCACCTGGCTGTTCACTTGGATGTTAAAGATTCAATGGCACTAAAGAGAAGGGAGTTTCTTTTGAGATTTTGGCCAACCATACCCCACCCAAATAAAATTAGCTGTTTACTACTCGGCTGTTTGTGGGACCTTGCTGTGGGCAAATTGGCTGTTGTTTGCCTAAAACCTACACCGTCACTACCTTTCACATTAAAATCCTGGAACGCTCTTTGAGATGTCCTCCCAACGTGAAAGGCACTAAATCAAATGCAAGGATTATTGTATACAGTATTATTATAGTAGCAAGTAACCCAGTGCCACTCTAGTGTGTTCCAGTTTATTACGATGGAACTACGTAGCGATTGGGGAGGGGTGGGGTGTACACAAATTCCCTTTGGTTCATGCTTACTTTTAATCATTGGATGCTTTGTACCTACTTGAACAGAGTTCTCTACAACATTCCTTGTACAATAAAAGTTTTATTTGTCCTTTGTCCTTTGCTTTTTTTTAAAGCCATGTGCAATTTGTTTTGAATAGGTAAAATGGCTGGAACAGCAAGTAGCAAAGCGAAGGAAAAAGAGAGATATCTATTCAGAACCAAATGACCCGAAATATTCACAGCAGTGGTATCTGGTGAGTAGTAATTTACTTTTTTAAATGGAATTTCTTTTATAAAAAAAAATCTGGGACTGATTTGCTTAAATAATACAGGAAAACCCATTGAGCTAATATCCCAAGAAGTCGTATTGAAACTGTATAGTTCTCTGAATAGACCACACCAAGATTATGTATAGTTCTGCTTGGGTAACAAAGGGGATTGTCCAGATCCTACACAACAAACATAGAAAGAAGAGCAATAAGATTGATACCAGTGTTGGAAGGATGAGCTACAACGTAAACTAAGACATCCTTGTTTCAGAAGGGATCTTATCGAGGTTTCGGGTTTGAGAAAGAATTGAGAAAATAATTTCAGATATGCCAAGGCAGCATATCTGAACTAAACAACACCAATTCAGATTTTGTATCATTTAAGTATGCTCCCACTCCCATGTTCGATGTACGTCATAAAATAGACGTGATCTAGGCTAGAGTGTGCTGTAAACCTTTGAATTTTACTACAATGTCTCCCCAGTAAGGAGAACTTAATCAGGGAACTGAGACTAGTTGCTGGTCATGTGGATCTGGTTTGTAAGACTAATATCTGACTAGGTCAATGGGAATCCAGAGATTCAGATATACCTGAATAACCACACTGTTTAGCTGGTCCTATACATGTTTGGTGGGCTCTATTGATCTTTATCTAACTGCTTTGCAGTATGCAGTAGTTTTCTAAATACAGAATCTTTAACATTTGGTCATTAATCTTCACGTCATTAACTTCTACTTGTCTAACCCAGAATAGATAATGGTGGTAGTGAGCTTTTTTAAGGCATTCGGCTGTAAAATGTCCAGTAATGGGTTCACTCATTACTTAAATTTACATACACTGTGTACTACTACTAGATTCTGCTACACTGATTGTGGTTAAGATGCTAAGGGAATTATTCTGAGTAGTGTTTAAAGGACACATTCCTCATTTATTCCTTCTATAATGGGTAACGCCAGGGGCATCACATGGCTTCTGCGGTCAAGAGGATTTTCAGTGTGCTTCCAAGCTTCTGCCAAATGTTGCTCAAACCAGCTGTTACGCAACAGTAGCATAATGATTTTATGTTTTTTCCTCTCCCTATTTCTCCGAAGCCCCCTGTTGTGGAGGCACCTGGCTTTGATACCTCTCCACAGGAGTAACATTGAATTATATTTCAGGATCTTTTTGCCCCTGTGGTGCTTCTGCTTTAGTGTTCCTTGTTCTGGACCTTTGGAGAAGAAATGTGTGTGTGTATATATATTGTATGTGCGTGTATGTATATGCTAGTGCTTGCTTCAATGGGCGCAATTTCAATTAATCCTGCTCCAATTCCATTTTAAATGCTGTTGTCAACTTTGCTGCAACAGATATTTGTAGTGAGGTATTACAGATTCTACTGCCTTCTGTGTAAACATTTTCCTAACCTATTTTTCCCTGGTAATGATACTCAATTTGTCTTATCTCACTCACTAATCAGTGGATGTAATCTATATTTAAACTCTCAAAATATAAATCTAAGACAGAGTAGATTTCATAGGAGGTTTAGGTGAAACTCCTTCACTCGGAGTGGGGCCAATATGGAACTCACTGCAGGAAACTGTGGTTGAAGCAAACTGTATTTATAGTTTAAGAGGTAATTTGCTGCCTACATAAGGGAGAAGGGAATAGAGGGGGATAAGAGGGAATAAAAGAGGTGGGGGAATTGTGTGCAAGTATCAACACTGACAGGGACGATTTGGGCTGAATGGCCTATTTAAATGCCATATCATTCTATTTTTTTAAAAGAATATATTTTGAAAAGTATTAGAAACTCCTTTTACCTTTTCTGTCCATTGAAAATATTCGTATTGAATATGGTTTGTTGCTTTTTGCATGTACTTCATGCCAGGGCCATTTGTATAAGTTGTTAAACCAGATAACCCCAGATAACGACAGGGCATCTTACGACTGCTTTGTCTTATTGTTCAGCATGGTTCGAGTCATTACCACCTGAAAGTGGAAGATGCCTGGAACCAGGGTTACACCGGGAAGGGCGTTGTCGTCTCCATCTTAGATGACGGAATTGAAAGGAACCACCCAGACCTGGTACATAATTATGTAAGTAAATGTAACATGTTCTCTCTCTGAAACAAAGGGAGGGGGAGAGAAAGAGAAGCTCACTCGCTCCAATGCCCAATAAAATAGACCAGCAATGATCTAACAAACCTAATGTGGATAAAAAGGATGATCTTTCTGATTTTTTGATTCAATACTTTCAGCTTTGATGATAGCATGAATTTAAGAATATTGCTTTATTTATGGTTGAATAATCCTGCAACTTTCCTGCTTTCCTGTCCTGTCACAAAATGAAAGGAATCATTAACTTGGTCGCTCCATTGATAGAATATTGACCTTGGGACTTGTGAGGAAGAGATGGGTTTCATTGCTACGATTGACATTTGACCCGATTTGCCCGATTCTTTGGCGCCTTTTCATCAGTTCTCAGCTGAGAACACTGGGTGCTCAGTGATTCTGACTGCATGAATGGCGGAGCCAACCACACCAAGCCTTTGTGCTTGCAGGAGCAAATTGCAGGGTGGTGTGGCCTGCAAGAGGAGAACCCAGGGTAGAGAAAATTAAAGTAATGTGTGTTTTGCTATTGCTAGGATCCAGATGCAAGTTATGATGTGAATAATAGCGACCCGGATCCACAGCCTCGCTACACACAACTGAATGATAACCGGTAAGTCCCTGTGGCTGAATGAATCCCTAACTTTTAGGCAGCAAGGAGACTTCAATAGAACAAAAACCTCTTGATGTGGAAAATCTGACTTTAAAAGAAAAAATAGCTGACATGCCTCAAGTCTCGCTCTCATTAATGCCTTCAGAAAGGGATCTTGCTGTGTCCCTATAAAGATTATAAATCACAATTAGTAGTTAATAGAACTGATTAACCTGTTGATGTTGTACAAAGCATAGTTCTCTGATATACTAATTGTGTGTTTAATATACGTACTCTAGCGAGCACTGCTTAGCACGGTCAAAAGTCTACTGTAAAACATAGATTTCCAATGTCAATTTAGGGATTGATTGTTCAAAGATTTGAAAGTGAGCATGCATGAAAAAGCGACTTGAAATGATTTTCGGAGAAAATGCTCAAAACCTCATTCCTCATAAGGGTGAGGCCACAGTAATCTGGTACTAATTTCCATTCAATAATCAGGAAAACCCATGAGCCTCAAAGGTCAGTAAAGGCCCAGACTCGAATATTGTTCTGTAGTGAGGTTTTTTTAGGAAGTGGAAAAACTCATGCAGCACGGAGTGTTTTTTGCACTTGGAATTAAAGCACATAAGAATAGGGAGTATTTTATCCTGCCTTTGTCCATTCTACCCTGTTATAATTTGAGGCTGAAACTGGGTGACAAAATTAGAAACTCATTTTACTCCTCAGACACTGACATTCTTTACACTGATGAGCACTATTATTCAACAAAAAATATACTGGGGTTTTATTTATTTTTAAAAATTGCTTAAGCAAAGGTAATTGTGTGAATTTGAAATGTCACTCCAGGCAGGTAATTACAATTACTATCAGAACTCTGGGACTATAAAAACTTACATTTACATAATATTTACATTCACGCAGGACAGCACGTCAACTATATACAGTGATTATAATTGTTAGTGGAAGACACTAGTATATGAGGAAAGGGGGTGTGGCTGCCTAAACAAAGATGCAGGAAAATATTCTGAAATCCAGTAGTCTAATTCACTGACCTTGAACTTGCTTTACAAAGCTTTGCATAGAATGTACAGAACAGAAACAAGCGACTCGGCCCAACCAGTCAATGCCGGGTAAAGTCTTGGGGAATCGGTTATTTTCTGGGATTTTTAAGCAGCAAAACATGAGCGACTATTGGGAGCCCCAATTAGTGCTAGAAACGTTTGTATAGTTGTAATTACATGCCAAGTATTTAAGAGGGTTGATTTAGGAGCTAAATTCAGCTCTTCAAAATAAGCTGTTGCTTCTCAGCATATGGTAATTAATTATTAAGATAATAAATTAATATCTGCAAACATACAATGCTTCTTTCAACACAGTGTGCAAGGTACCTGCTTCAGTTGTATTCTCAGTGTAAATATAATTTCTAATAAACCCCTCTGCAAAGAACGATGCAAACAATATGGTCATCTCATTCCACAAAGATGACAGATCTAATTTGTATTAATTTGTGTGTATTTTCCACTTCATTCTGCACATATGGCCCTGTCACAAAGCATTATGGTGACAGGATGGGGAAAATGGATTATCTATTGTTGCATGAACCTCATTGGGAATCTTTATTCTGCAATATCTAGGATGCTCGCATTTTGAAGCTTGTGTTGATAGTTCATTAGAGTGTGCAATTGTGCATCAAAGCAATCAGCCCTGTGCTTGCCTGAACCTCCACTCACTGCTGTTTAGGGGACATTGCACTGAGATCTGATCCCTCTTTTCCATTAATGGGAAGTGGATATCTAACATGTATGCAAAGGGACCTGGATAGTTGTTTGCCTCCAAATGTGAAGCCACTTTTCTGCCTCCCTTTCAGAGATGCCTCAGAAAAACCGAGACAAGATGATAAAATGTAATAAATTGAGATCTTTACTGAATGCATCTGCCATCAATCAGGATAACCAGATACCTGTTGCATGTGATTTTTCTCCCCATATGTATTCATATATAGGTATGGTCCCCGCAGACTCAGTCCTCGATTGTAAGAAAAAAAAGCCGACAAAGTTACTTGGATGCACTTTTCCTTATAGAGAGTGATCAGTTAATGGCTAACAATATTGTCATATTTAATCTTGTAGACATGGGACACGATGTGCTGGTGAGGTGGCAGCTTCAGCTAACAATGGGATTTGTGGTGTGGGCGTGGCATATAATGCCAGAATTGGAGGTATGTATTCACTCTTGATTGACGTCACAGTGCTCAAAATGATTGGGAAATGTGGTCAAAAACAAGAAAAAGTAATAGAGTATCATTCGGGTTCTCCTGGTAGCATAATGGTAGCCTAACAAATCTAGTTGATTGCATAGTTAGTGTTCAGTGGGTCCAATTAAGATCAATTCGTGTGAATTCAGTTCATCTCAGTACAGAGTAATATTGGAGCCTGGGACTTTTGTGACCTTGATGGCTCAGTGCAGATATTTAGTTGAGGCTGTATTTTTAAGAGGCATTTCCTTTACATTTAGGTGTACGAATGTTGGATGGAGAGGTGACTGATGCTGTGGAAGCTAAGTCTCTCAGCATGAACCCTCAGCATATTGATGTGTATAGTGCCAGCTGGGGTCCAGAAGATGATGGAAAAACTGTGGATGGTCCTGCTAAACTTGCACAGGAAGCCTTTTTTAAAGGCATATCTGAGGTAAAATGTGTATTGTTGACATGCATAGTGCAGAGGAGATTATGCACAGTGCTATACATCTACTCCTCACTAGAACAATAATCTGGGATCATATAAAATAAAGGTAGTATAAAAGTTTCAATCACGCATCAAACTAACTTGTTTTGATTGAATCCGTATGGAAGAGGATAGAGCACTTGTACTGAAGATTTTGATTCAGATTCTAACAGTTTTATGTTCAGTAAGAAAAATGGTGTAGAATGTGGACTTGCTGATCAGTGCCGCTGTATATCGGTTCTGCTTTACAATTATATGGTTGTGATCTGTGTAGACGTTCAATTCCCAATTTGATCATGATTTTAACTAAAGTTGATTGCTGTCACTGAATGTCTGGTTAGATCTTTTGGGATTATAGAGGTTTGGATGAAGCAGCCCTTTAGCACATTTCATTTTATCCTTCTGGAAAAGAACGATTGTTTTAAATTGCAGCATTAAACAGTTTCTTAAATGAGTGCAGCATCCCTATGCTCCCAAATGTCTGAAATATACAAGCTTCAAAAACATCCTACCCCTCTCATTCTTCCCTGGACCACCTTTTAGTCAGATATTGGCCCCACTGAAATGCATTTGGTGAAGACTGTCAATGATGGAGCTCACTGCATTTGAAATTGTGTTTTAAGACCACTTTCTTAAATGGATAGTGCAGCATTATGATTCACGTGCAATATAACGTTTCCTTCCCATGGAATCTGCAAATAACTTCAAAGAATTTGGCACATCAGCCTAAAAATGCTCAGGTTACTTTTGCAAAAGGTCAATTTGCTGATTGAATTGTTGGCAAGTGTATTCTATGAGAGAGACGATCAATATTACAGAAGCAAAGAGGAGCACCCACCATCATTTCCAAGGGAGTCTTGAGGAACACTTAAATGTGGCATTTAGAAGTGCAATCCACGTTGCTAAATTGATAGCTGTCTTCAGGACAGGTTGGAGCTAAGTATGATTGAAGGACATGTTGGAGTAGTGTGATTATGTTGAAAGTACGGAATGGCTAGAACAGATTTGGTTACTAGCATCTTATTTTTCCATTTGTGCACGTGTCAATTTTATGCTTTCTTCAAAATCAATTTATAGGAAAAGACGGAACTAAAATCACCATGGTAGTGCAGTGCATCTGGTCAACAACAACAAAATTACATTTGTAAAGTGCCTTTCACATCGGGTGCTGGTCGGTTCAGTATCTGCAGTGTTTTTCACAGTTAAATAATTTTTAAAAAATCTTTCAGGGGCGCAGAGGTCTGGGCTCAATATTTGTGTGGGCTTCAGGGAATGGCGGCCGAGAACGAGACAGTTGTAACTGCGACGGATACACAAACAGTATCTACACTCTGTCGATTAGTAGCACGACTCAGAATGGGAATGTGCCATGGTACAGCGAGGCATGCTCCTCAACACTAGCCACAACCTATAGCAGTGGAGGTCAATATGAAAAACAGATAGTAAGTACAAATTGTTCCATTTCAAGATTGATGTTTTGGAACTGAGTATGTATCTTGGAGAGCGATATGGAAAAATGTTACCTGAAATATTTATTTTATATATTCTTTGTTTTGCTGTTTTGTTAAACTTATTTTGAACGATTAAAATTCTGGAACTGATTTGTAGAAACAATAGTCACTAAATGTGGTATAGTTTTATAATGTATCAGTGGTTCATGCATTTAAAGGGTCAAAGAAGGCACAAAATTCTTCCGTATGAATCAAATCTTATTTTGCTAGTTTGGTTGTATATTTTTCCCCAAGTCGATATTTCATGCTGAGTTTGTCATCCCAACAGTTTGGAGTATCAAACATGGGAAGGATATAATACCCATGGAGGACATCAAATGATGAATCACTGTATTAAAACATATTTAGAAAATGGTTTAAATCTTGAGTTGAGAATCTTTATCCATTTTTTCAACAGCTCCTGCCTCACTCATTTCTGTACCTTTCTCATTCAGTGGTGACTTATTTATCAAGAGTTTGCCACCTTGTTTATGAATTTTTGGGCAAACAATGATCTGTTTACTGCTGGCTTCAGCATCTTCGGTGTCGGGGGACTTTGTGTCACTCTAAATGTATAGTTACCAGCGTTGGAAATATCTTCCTGATTTTCTTTTTGCTTGGAGGTGTTTTTTTAGAACTGATTATACCTAGATTAATATTATAGGTAGGAGTGCCAGATTCACAAGCAATACTCTTTTTGTATCGTGGTTGGGAGGGCTAGCTGATACAACTGTTTCTTAAACAAAATCTATTTGTAATCCTAGGTTTTATAATTAACGGCATAAAATCTAAAAACAGAGGTCATGCTAAACTCGTATAAATCGCTTGTTACCCCTATAGCTTTATACACCATCCTACAGGAAGAATGTTGAGGCCCTCCTCGTGCAGATAACAACCTGAAAAGAGGAAATGAAAAAGAGTTTAAGGAAAAGGCAGTAAAATAAGACTAAAATGGATAGCTCTTTCAGAGAGCCAACACAGACTGAAAAAGCCAAATGGTTGCTTTCTGTACTGTATATTTCTATGGACTAAGCTGTACAAGACCAGATCTAACTGGAAAGTGTCTTGCGTGTGGGAGACCAGAGAGTTAACCTGTGGGAGTGCATGATAAACTTAAGAAGCAACAGCTCTTCACTGAATAATGGGCCTCTCAAACATAAAAGTCAACTAATAAGTGACAAATGACATTCTGTCCATCTGCAACCAGGGCTTCCTCTGCCTCCTCATCGTCCTTGACCTCTTTACTGCCTTTGACACCGTTGACCACTCAATGCAACTATTTTTGGAAGCGTTAATGGACATGTTTTATCCAATAATAATAATAATCTTTGTATTTGATGTAGTGCCTTATCACAACTTTGAGATGTCTCAAAGCACTTCACAGAATATACTGTAAAGTAAATTGACTGTATATTTTCTGGGTGAAATGTGGTAGCCAATTGCCCAATCGTGGATTGAGTGACCACATTTTTAACATTCTTTTGAGATATTTCAAAGTACCTTCCTTTCTACTGGATACCAACCAGGGGATCAGCTTGTGGACAGATCTGCACTTATGATAGTAGGTCACAGGAAGAGGCCAGGTGGATCCCAGAGCAGTTCTGTTTGCTGTAACGAGGCTGACGTTTTTGTTCATCTTAGATGCTGATCTGCGAAAGCAAATTCTCAGAAAAGAATGAACCTCTTCCTACCTAACCTGTTAAAAGGAGTCCGCAGAGAGTCCAATTTGTCAGCGGGCACATGGGCCAGTCATTGGGATTTCCAATCATTCGTACTGATCTTTCAAAATAGATTATCTTTTTTCATTTACCTTAAAGCAGCCCTTGCAGTGTGATTGAAGGTACCCAGCTTCCTATCTGAACAGAAATGAAGAAAGATTTGTTCTTGCATTTCACTCACTGATGCATTCAGTATCTGCCAGATGTGTGGAAATGAAACTGCTGCCAAGCAAATGTTACTTGCTGCCTTTAGGTCACAACTGAATGATCACAAAACAGCATTTTTTCATAACATGATGGATGCTGTCAAAATCCAGTATGCAGTTATAAAGGAATGACTTTTATGGGAGTACAATTTAAGATCTAGGTTCTTTCAAGAAATCATTAATTTCTTGATGCGTTTTTTTTAAAAAGAATATTCAGATAACAGGGAAAATATTACATCAAATCTTTCCAAATTAAAAAGTGTGAAAGTATTTATTTACATGGAAGAGCTATGCATAGTAATCATCTGGAAATGTGTGCCTTCTAAAATAAAGTCTTCCAAAAGAGACTTCTGTCTTCCTGCTTTTGTAGGTAGAGCCTCTGATATAATAAGTTTATCTGGTCAGTTCAATTTATTGCATCTCCTGCCAGAGTCTTCGATGATGGGAATTTTTGCATGATGCATGAAAAAATACATCCAGTCTGACTTGGAGTGATATCTGAGATCAAGTGGAAGATTTGTGTAGCACTGACTGACATTATGGAGGGAGTTAATCACCACCAGTGAGGTTGCAACAGGATGGAAGCAAGCAAATGTTGTTCTCCTGTTCAAGAAAGATGACAGAACTATAGCTGGCAACAAAGACCCATTGCCCAAACTTCTATTTTTGTAAAAAGGATGGAGTCAATCATCAGGGAGAAAATGGAAGATTAATAAGACAAAAATTATCTAATCAATGATAGCCATCATGGATTCAGAAAGGGTCGGTCTTGTCTGACCAACCTCATAGACTGCTTAGTATTTTTTTTATCCAATTAGACATAGGAAATTTAAAAAGCATTTATAAAAAGATTTCCTTTGTTTTCCTTTTAGCATTCGTACTGAATACTATAACTTGAAAGATCACCAAAATCAGTCCTCAGGACCTTGTTGAACATGGGGAGAGGTAGTCCTGCATAGAAAAATCTCTCGTCATAATAATCCTTGGATTTGATATAGCGCTTTTCACGTCTTCTAGACATCTCAAAGTGCTTCACAGAATTGACTATAAAGTGAATTGACTGTATATTTGTGGGTGAAATGCGGCAGCCAATTGCGCACAGCAGTGTCCCACAAACAGTCGTGGATTGAAGTGACCAATTTATTATTGTTTTTTTCCTTCTTGAGGGATTATTATCAGGCGTGTGGAGTAAGGAAACTAGCCCAAAGTTTCACCCTGCCGGTAATTGAGCCCAGGTCTCTCACTTGCAAAGCGAGTGCTCTAACCACTGAGCTGCAGGCCATCGCGTTATGTATAGAAGAATTCATGACAATAATTGGGTTCTAGGCAGTTAGTCTAAATTTGGATGTAAAACACTTTAAGCTTGCTCTGGTTTATTTTGTCAGCCTTTCGATGTGTAACCTGTAATTCATACCTGAGGATTAAACACCGAGGCCAGCCAGTTCACTGCGAGGGGCAAGTGGGCCATATTGTGGGTTTACATATAGGGGTGTAAGAACCATCTCATAATCATTCTCTATGACGTGTATCGGACTTGTATCTAACTCTCATAAATCGGGAATATATTATTTATTTACTGCAGTAAAGCTCTGGCTTCTCAATAATATGATAATATGATAATAATATAATAATACTTCTTGCGTCTTCTAGACGTCTCAAAGTGCTTCACAGAATAGCTGTAAAGTGAATTGACAGTATATTTGTGGGCAAAATGCGGCAGCCAATTGCGCACAAAGGTACCCCACAGCAGTGTCCCTATTGAGAAGCTCGGGCTTCCTCTCAATAGGCTAGTATAAAACCATATCCAAAACTCCTCCTTTTCCAGTGTGATAATTTGTAATAATTAATACTCAACGAGTGTAAATTATTTGTCAAACCTGTTCTGCCAGTTTATTAGATCACAGAAAATTCTTATCAATTCTATATCTTTGGCCTCCTGCCCTATGGCAGAACATTCCACAATCTCACAGCTCTTTGTGAAGAAATGTTTTCTTATTACACTTCTTACTGGTTTAGCCCTCATTTTAAGACTATGTAAGCTCCAATTGTTTTGGATCCTTATACGACTACAGAGTCGACTCCTATGTATCTTATCAAGTTCCCTCATTACTTTAAACCACTCAATCCCATCACCAAATTACCATTGCCTCGTGTGCACCAGCTATGGGGGCAGCCCTCAATTCAAACACATGCAGAGAGACATGACCAAGTCTCCATTGATAGGGAGGTAGTGATATAAATCCATTAATAACCATTCGCAGTCCATTTGCATTTTCTTATTGGAGCTGTTTGCACGTTTGTCTTATTGCTGTATTGAGAAGTAGTTGATTTTTTAAAAAATCCTTCTTGTTTAGATAACTACTGATCTCAGACAGAAATGCACGGACTCTCACACAGGAACGTCTGCTTCTGCTCCACTGGCTGCAGGAATCATTGCCCTCGCACTGGAGGCAAAGTAGGTATCTTTTTTAGATTTGTCACACTGCCTGAAATTTGTCCAGCATTTTAGGGATTAATATCTTAGTAAAGAATTAAACTACAATAAAGTTCTTTGGCATTGTTTCTTTCGAACCACTTTTGAAATAGTCAGAATGTGAATGGTATTTCTGCAATTACATTTCTATGTAAAGCTGTAATTTTGTGCAGGATTAGTACCTGTATTAAATGAGCCGAAGATCTGGCACTGAAAGATGTTTTCTGGTGAGCACACCAGTGTATAATGAAGCTGAAGTGTGTTTTGATGGTGCTTTACACCTGTAATGAACCTGGATCAAATTAAATGAGTGAATTAATCTATTAGTTTTGTTATTTTTCACCTGAGCAATGTTACATCGCAAAACAGAAGTCGAGCTGTAGGAAACCATATCTGTCAATGCTTTATGCAAGAAATGACCCACGCAGTAATCTTTGTGTTTCGTGTTCATTTTCTTTCTTCAGTAAAAATCTGACATGGCGAGATATGCAGCATCTTGTCGTCCGAACATCTAAACCCTCCCATCTCTCCACAAATGATTGGCTGACCAATGGTGTAGGACGCAAAGGTAACAATATCCGTGATTTTTGTATATACAACTCAGTGATATTTTGGAAATTCTTTGCATTTGTTACTGAAGTACTGAAAAAAAACAACTAAGCCACGTAATTGTAAGTCAAGCTTCTTAATTTACCTCTTTAAAATAGGCTTTTCTTTCCTGGGGTCTTCAATCCTGTATAGCAGAAAATATCAATTTTTTAAAAATAAAATTCATTATTTTGGCTCTATATCTTTTCTCCCCCCGACCCCCTAGTTAATGCCAATATAGATATAATTTCACCCAAGCAACTTAAAAAAATCTTGCCCCCTCCCTCATTGAGACCAGTGAAAAACCTGGCACACCACACAGATTTTATTTTAAAAGCTATCCCTTTCTAATCCTCTTCAAAGTATTTGAAAAATTGGAAGAAGTTAATATGGAATTTACAGATGCAGAATTATCTAATTTTATCTACTACCAAAGCCACGTTTGCAGAGAACCTTGACGAATTTAAGTGTCGGCATTCCAATCTCCTGATTTCACATGCTGCCCTTGAAGGAGTGGGATAAGCTGTAGCTTCTTGAAGCAGACTGCAATATCATCTTCACGATTTTGATGTTAGAGCTGATTATCTGAAGTTAAGCAGCTGCTCAGCATGTCTTTTCTTAGCAACTTTCTGTGTTCCCTAAAACATCTAACCAGGCAGGAGGGGCACAGACTGCAAACTGTTCTTCCTCCCGCCTCTGCCCGGTTAACTGTGGTATACCCAAAGGCTCCATCGTTGGCCCCCTTTTTCTTATTTACATGCTCCCTCTCGGCGATGTCATCCGCAGATATGGGGGGGGAAAACATTCACATGACACCCAAATCTACTCCTTCTCCAGCTGTGACTCCAGGTCAGTTTGTTTGTTGGACATCAGGTCCTGAATGAGCTCAAACATCCCACAGCTGAACGTAAACAAGACAGATGCCATGTTCCTTGGCTTCCATCAATGTCTTCACTCCTGGGGCTCTGACCTCACCTGCCTATCCCTAAAGGCTTAGCAAATCTGTATGTAACCTTGGCATTGGGTTCAACCCCTGGCTGTCCTTCCTACCTCATATCCAGTCCCTAACCAGAACAGCTTTCCTCCACTTATGTTAAACATCTCTTTTTAAAAACCTTTGCAAAGGATTTGTTACTGGGTATATTTTGGGTGGTGTTCTCTTGGTTGACTATGAAAGCACAGTATGGAGCTGAAAGTCAAATGTTTCAGTTAGCATGTCAGCCTCTGTATAAATGTGGCCAGTGCAAAGTCCTACCAAAAGATACATGTCAACACTCTGATCTGCTGGCTGATCAAATTTCAAAGAAATCAGATCTGTTCATTATGGACTACTATATAAGCTATATATATATAGTGTGTGTATGGGCGTGTGTGTGTATATATGTGTGTGTGTATATAATATATATATGTGTGTGTGTATTGTGTGGCTGTTTTTTATATATATATATATATATATATATAAAGGGCACCACCCTTAATATGGTGTAAAGGGAGCATTTGCCTTTAAAGTGCACCTCAGTCAGGGATTTTCTAAGATGTCACTATTCAGCATATTCTGTCGTGAGAGAAAGCAAATGAGAATTGTTCTTGTACCAGAGAGCCGGTGGAAGAGTTCCCTTAAATCTTAAGACCTGTATTGACTCGCCTTGCAAGCGAGTGACCTGGGTTCGATTCTAGGCAGGTCAAAACCTTGGGCAAGTTTCCTTACTCCACATGTCTGATAATAATTCCACAAAAAAAGAACAATAATGGTCACTTCAATCCATGACTGTTCTTGGGACATTGTTGTGCGCAGTTGGCTGTTACGTTTCACCCACAAATATACAGTCAATTCACTTTACAGTATATTCTGTGAAGTGCTTTGAGACGTCTAGAAGACGTGAAAAGCTCTGAATCAAATGCAAGGATTATTATTATCCATTCTCAAACAGAAAAGATTAGCTACTTAAATATTATTTATCAACATAACCTAGAATCAATCAAGTACAGTAATTTCTTTTAAGAAAGTGGATCAGATTATTGTCAACAGCAATTTGAATAGGATGATAGTATCATAGCCCTTCAACACCCTTCTATAGTTCCGACGTGAGGCTTTGAACCTTCTGATCCAAAGGCGAGAGTGCTACCACTGAGTGAAGCTGACACACTCCGATGGGCGAAATGGCCAAGTTCTGTACTGTCAGATTTTAACAAGAAGATTACATTTGTATAGCGCCTTTCACGTTGGGAGGACGTCCCAAGGCGCTGGACAGAGTACAGTGGCTCAGACCCGAGCTGGAGTTGGGGGGGGTACGGGAGGGGAGGGGAAGACGGTGACCGATGGCATGGTCTTGAGGCGGGACTTGAAGGAGGCTAAGGAGAGGGCGAGGCAGAGTGACTGGGGGTTGGAATTCCAGAGGTTGGGCGCAGAGTGGCTGAAGGCTCTCCCGCCAATGGTGGGGCGGATGGGTCGGGGGACGTGGAGCAGATTAAGAGGGTTTTGAATGCAAATGAGATTGTTTGTCTGGTGTTTTGCAGTCAGCCACTCCTATGGCTATGGCCTTCTTGATGCTGGTGCTATGGTTGCACTAGCTAAGAACTGGACAAGCTTGGGACCACAGAGAAAATGTGTCATCACCATCACCTCTGAGCCAAGGTAATTTCCTCTTCAAATAAACCTGCAGTGTTCAGCCTGTCATTTTCAGAGTTCCTATTTGTAAATTCCTTCAGTGAAAATAGCAAACGAGAAAACGACAGAGTCTAATCTTGCATTCCCACAAGCATTTAATTGCAGTGGGAGATGATCTGTTTTCTTTAAACAGTGTCGTCCAATTGTTATTTCATGTTTTGTTCAACCACCTGCTTTAATCCATCCTACATTTGAAATTTTCTAGGTGCTGCATTAAAATGTATAATTTCTAGAAGATAAAATATCCAATTGTCCCTACAGCAATCCTTGTGAATAATCCAGGGAGTCTCAGACTTTGCATGTTTCAGTGAATATTCCCTCTAGTGGTGCAGTCTTTTGAGAAGTCAAATTCTTATTTTAAGAAGTTTGCTTTTGGAAGCAAAGTTATTTGAGGTGATTGTGGATGCTGATTTCCCCTTGACTAGGTTTGACGGTCTCAGTGGGTGACTGTGCTGCTCTTGTTGCATCCAACCATGGAATGAATGGTACTTTTGTGATTATGTGGCCACCGACAGATCTGTTCCACAGGGCTGTGGTGGTGGGTGTAGCAGCAGAGGAAAGACTGGCATGTGTTCTGTGAATAGTTTTTAAGAAATGCTGACTCGGCTGACAACATTTTTCAAATAAAGAGAGAGTTGTCCAGTTACCTGTTTGAATAATAAGACCTTTGGCTCAGGTCTGCCACTCTGACTGTTTTCCCAGAGGAAAGTTCAGCAGAAATTACAAGTGGGGAAAAACTGAAAACTTTCGTGACTAGTTTAATCATTTAACTTTATCTTTGTTTTAACATTCTGCTAAAGCTTTGTTGTGAAATCAACCTTGAGTTCAATAGGCCTAATCTGCCCTGTATGGAGTTTCAGTTTTAACCTATCTTTCATCAAAACGTTTTGCCATTCCTCTGCAAGACCCAAGGTTTCTTTGACCTCCAATCATTTCAAATCTTTAAAACTGACTGTGAAATGAAAGTGCTATTTTTCATAGTTAATATTATTCAAGTAGATTGAGCTAAAGTCTTTGCAGAAAAAGTTCAATCTTAGGAAGGATGCTTCCAATTACTTTCATATTGTATTATTACAATTTCTGTCATGTTGGTGTGTAATATTTTTAGTGCACTTGGTGTAAATCATACATTTTTGTAGAACCCTGAGAAGCCAAAATATCACAATTAAGTGTTTCTGAGTGAAAGTTGAAACTCCATCCCAGAGTCTCTTTGACTCACCCCCACCCTCCCCACTTTAAAACCCGCCTTAAGACTTGCCTCTTTGACAATGCTTTTGATCATCTTTCCCGTCCGCACCTCTTCAGATCCCACTCCTCTCCCCTAGTAGTGAGATGTCCTGCCAATGTGAAAGGTGCATATATAAACGTGCATAGTAAGTTAAACTACAGCACATTTAAGTAGTGATTTAGACACAAGCACCAAACTATGAAGTAGGTCTCCCACTCTGATCAACAGCTTGCATTTATTTAGAGCCTTTCATGTGAAGGTCTCAAAGACTTTGTTATTTGGCCCAGAAGGAAGGAAAGGTGCAAGTAATTTTGAACTTCAGTTGCATTCCTACTGAGCTCCAGGTGGCTTCCTTTAATGTTGTCTTACCCCATGCTGCTTTCCTGCAAATTGTAGTCCATGATTAGGCACACAGCTGAGCACTAAATGTACACACAACATGCATGGAAGATTGAATTGGGCAATCATTCAGACCTGAAAGGGGGGAAAGCCTTTTAAATATTTTGCTCATGATGGATTTTGGCAATACATAATGGTTTTTGTTTTTATCCAGATTGCCTTCTGATCAATACCATTTTCATTAACTATGCATAAATCCAGAAAGCCACTGTAATCAGTAGGTGACATTGAATTTTCATTACGTGGGCAGTCTTGGCAGGTGAAGTCTGGTGATCTTTAACTGCATATTATATTCTTTAATGCCCTGCTGACTCATCGCTTGCTCTCAGTCTTGGCGTGCGCATCTGGTTGCTATCCCTGACCCAAGCTACCATCCCCCAACATGCCCCCTCTCCTGTCCCCTATCCTTTGCTACTCCTGCTTGCTCCTCTTCTCCTACCATCCTCCCCGCCTTCTTTCCGTCCTGGACCCACCCAGAGCTTCCCTCTGTTCCAGCCTTGGAACCTTCCGCCTGGCTCATCGCTGCACACGCTGTTGGCAGTCCTTCAAACCCCACATTCGTGCCATAACCCATTCCACCTTTCCACACATCCGCCACATTGTCCGCCACTGCCTCTCACCGCAGGTCGCCGACATCCTGATCCGTGCTTTGATTACTTCCCGGCTTGATTATCCCAACTGCCTGCTCACTAGACTTCCCAAATCTTCCCTCTACAAGCTGCAGATTATTCAAAACTCCTCAGCTTGTGTCCGCTCCCTCACCAGGCTCTGGGAACTTATTACCCCCTCACCCTGTTCTTGCTCGGCTGCACTGGCTCCCCATTCCTCAGAGAATCAAGTACAAAATCCTCGTTCCTACATGCAAGGCCCTCCTTGGTCTTGCTCCCCCCTACATCTCCGACCACATCACCCCATATTAGCCTGTCCACTCCCTCTGCTCAGTGGACACCAGCTTGCTTCAGGTCCCCCGCACTTTCCGCCCCACCATTGGCGGTCGAGCATTCAGCAACTCTGCCCCCACAGTCTGAAACTCTATATCGCAATCCCTTCACCTCACCCCCTCACGTGCCTCCTTCAAGTTCCGTCTGAAGACCTTCCTCTTCGATCGTGCCTTCAGCCACCCTACCACCCCCAACCCGCCCTTTTCCCCTTCTGACCTCAATTCCCAGCTCGGGTCCAAAACCCCTCATTGGCTAGCGCCCTAGAAGATCTTTCCTATGTGAAGGGCGCTATACAAGTGAAATTTGTTGTTGTTTAAAGCTTGATGTTATTGAAACACGCCAGTAATGGAGGAATGCTGTTGTGGGATTTAGTTGAAATCGAATGGTGTTGATTAGAGCAAGGCCAGAAGGAGCATGAGACATAGTAGATAAAGGTGAAAAGCCCAAGTGTGCAGAAACTCTCCTGTTTCCGAGCATCTGAAAAGAGTAAACAATTGGCTAAATTTTTTTCCCCAGTTTCCTGACCAACAATTCCCCAGATAAAATAGGTCATTTACTTCATGGCTGTTTGTTAGCAACGTGGAAATTTGCTATCTTGTTCGCCTGCAAATACACAGTAAAGCTTCGCAGTAAATTCTATGAATGACTTTGAGACAATTCAACGACGTTATAAGGTGCTATGTAAAATGCAAGGATTAATCTTACCATATTCTGTGGGAATATTATCACTTCTGTATTTTGGGGTTTAAAAGGTGACATTCACTAACATGTTTTCTATCACGATGGCATAGACTCTTTTACGACCACATTTTCCATTAAAGTTTCTTCAGGTTTTTCTCCTCAGCTGAGAAACTAATGATTTTTCATATAGCACCTATAATGTCAAACTGTATTAGAGCTTCACAGATAATTCCTGTTAAATATAATGACTTTACCTCTGAAGGTGAAAATGACAGCTAGTTTATGTTCATCAATGTCACACAAACAGCTATGAGGTAAATAACCAATTTATCCAGCAGTTTCTTGGCCTGGACACCAGAAGAAATGCCCTGCTCTGCCAACAGTCTCAGATAATCCGACCAGGTAGACTGAAACTCAGTTTAATGTCTCAGCCAAAAGACTACAACAACATAATGCATCCCTACTACTGCACTGGAGTGTCAGCTTAAACTGTGGGATCAAAGATTTGCCAAAGGCTTGAACCTAGAACCTTCTGACCCAGAGGCAACATGCTGCCAACTAAGGCAAGCTGATACTAATTTTGAAAATCGCCCACAAGTACAGTGTTAACTGCGATCACAAGCATTTCAATCGCTGTTTATTTGGTTGAGAAAATGCTGGCCAAAAACGTTCCTTGCTGGTGTTCACAAGCACGATTTTTCTTAAACGTAAACTTTTTTTTAGTGAATCTCCACAGTTTCAGTCATTAATACAGCTACATTTCAATCACATAAGTGTAATGTCTGTCTGCCAGGTATTGTGATTTGTCTATAACACGGCAACCAGATGTTGACTTGCTCACCCTCAAGGTAGTAATTTGATGATCTCATTCCTAGTACTCAGATGCAATTTTAGTCTAGACAAATGCAATAATCTACAGGCTATAGGGCCATTTAGGGAGTTAATCCTGAATTTGGTTTATACCATGCATAGTATTTGCTTAAATTCCATTTTTGTTTGTATATTTGGACAATTTCTTTGGATCTCAAACATGCAGTTCCCTGAAATGTTGTACACTGTCTCCCAAGACTACAAAGCTGAACTTTGGTTTACTTTCTTTAGGGACATACGAAACAGACTGGAGATACGGAAAAAGGTTGACGCGTGCATTGGAAGTTCAAACTTTATCAACTCTTTGGAGCATGTGCAGGCAAGAATCACTCTGTCATACAATAAACGTGGAGACCTAGCAATATATCTCACCAGCCCCATGGGGACACGGTCTACTCTGCTGGCACCAAGGTATAAAGCTTTTAACCATTCAGCGATTTGCATTGTTCAAAGGACAATTTGCTTTTTTATTGCTTTGAGAAGGGATTAAATACTGTATAACAACACAGAATGCTGTGCAACAACATGCTGACTATTGTTAGGTTCAATGCAGAAGTGAAATTGGGTTGTAATGTTTTAGCCTTCAAGTTTGTCAGGTACGCAATATCCAAGCAAGGTAAGTATGTTTACAGATATGGTAACAATTGGGAGAGGGGAAAGGACAAGGGCCGGCACAAAGTAACACTTTAGTGACAAACTCCTGATGAAAGAAATCTTTAGTTAGTACTGGAGCCCATTTGTATAATGACCGTACTATTCACACCGTTTCCATGTCCACATTTGGCTTTTCTACTCTAAATTAAGAAGTCATCTAGTTGCCAAACGGCAGCTGGCTTCTTGCATGCTTAAAAAAAATTCCCTCTTTGGGGATCATCGTATCATCTTCGACATAGTTGCACTCTAATATTGTTTTTTTGCAGGTTACATGACTATTCATCTGAGGGATTTGTAGACTGGGCATTCATGACCACTCACTCATGGGGTGAGAAGTGCTCAGGGGAATGGATTCTAGAGATCGAGAACACCGCAGGCATGAATAATTATGGTTAGTATCTGGAAGTCAGAGTGTAAACTCTTCGCCTCAATAATAATACTTGCATTTGATGCATCACCTCATCACGTCTTTGAGATGTCTCAAAGCACTTCACAGAATATATTGTAAAGTGAATTGACTGCTTTGTGGGTGAACACGGCAACCAGCAGCGTCCCCCAAACAGTTGTGGATTGAGTAACCAAATTTTTTTTAAGGGATTGATGCAAGGAAGATTATTATTCACTTTCATCTTGGGAAAAATCTAAGGAATGTGCTTGTGCCATCTTGTCCGTTAGTAGCACTCTTGCCTCTGGTCAGAAAGCTGTGGGTTCAAGCCCCATATTGGGAGACTGAGTCCAGACTTGCACTCTTTTGCAGTCTTGGTATACACTAAATTGTCAGAGGTTCGTCCAAGTAGATAAATGATATTCATTTGGTGATGTAGACAACAATCTGCCAGATGAATTGGGCATTCATCTCAGGGCTGTTTATGGGACTTCCGATAAATAAATTGGCTGCTGCTTTGCCTGCAGAAACAGCCACTGTTATGGTAACTTGACTGTAATTATTGTAAAGTGCTTTTGAGATGCTTCAATATGGTAATGTACTATAAAATGTAAGTGTCCGTCATAGCAAATTTGCTAGCATTACATTTGTTCAGATAACATAAACTTCTAAAAGCATTCATTACTCTAGCATTTCCAACANTTTTTTTGTCCACAGTAATTGTTTGACAGACTATCGTAATTCTAAGCAATATTTAGTAAGATTGTGTTGACTGAAATTAGTATTTTCTCTCCATTCAGGCACCCTGAGGCAGTTTTCACTGGTTCTGTACGGTACTGCAGATGATACTCAGAACGTCCCAAATTTAGTGAATACTAACCTGCAATCCAACGACTGCAAAACATTCAGCTCTGAGCAACTGTGTGTGGGTGAGTAACAATGGAGACTGAGTTAATCTGATACGTCAGAGATTTATCTTTCGGTCTTGGAACACCCTCTACAGGCAGGACCTAGAATGCAATTTACCATAGAAATAGATCCTGATTTCTTCACAAGATACCACTCCCAAAAGAGATCCTCATCACTGGATGCATTATATCAGGGAAAAATGTCTCTAACCAATGATGATTTCTTGAAAATAATCCTGAGATTTTTTTTCTAAATCTTAATAATGTACTTGATAATAATCTTGATAACTGTTTCAAGGCTAGTGAAGTGGTTAGTGATTTTTTCCCCCAGCCTGTTTTTGTATGCTAAGGTTATAAATGTTGTTTCCAGTCGATGCCTTCAGGTGCAGCCATGCAGAAGTATTTAGCCTAGTTAGATGAGAGAGGATGTCTTGCCATCTCCAATACAGGCCTTGCTCCATTGGTCAATAGAGCAGCAATACTGATGGTTATTGAATTGTTCTGTTTCTATAGATCTCCTGGGAGAGGAGGAAGAGATTCGCCAGTGACACTGGCACGAAGAGATCCAAGTCCACATCAGAATTCTTTTAGGCTAATATTTTCTAGAACTTGCATTATTGTCAGGAAATCTCTATATTAGATGTTGTAAGAGTGAGGTCTGTCTTACACTATCTTTACCTTTTAAATCCTTCTTTGGAAATTGGGTGAGATATGTGGATTTGTAAGCATTAGCCAGGGCAAAGATGCAGTTGTTATAGTGATGAGGCTAGATTTTCAGAAGTGATTTGCCTGAGGAATTGTACCTTGTTTAGATGTGTGTCGCTTCTTGGCAGGAAAGTGTAGGCACAGTTGGGGTGTTGGTTATGTGTTTGATATGAAGATGACTTTCCAGCCCTGGAAAGTGAGGAGCTAATAATAGTCTAAGCACAAGATGAAAAATGGAATTAGCTGGAATTTATCCTTCACGGTTTGCAGTGTCGACGGCCAGTATTGCACACATGGCAGGGTCAGATCTAAGCAACTGTTACATTAATCCTGATTTAAATGAACCAAAACTTAGACACATTTCTAATTGGATGGTGATGGGTGCAGTAAAGTGAGGAATGTGAGTGTGTGTGGTATCCAAGTTGATCTAAATCATGGTGGAAAATGTCTAGGTGGACAATAATGTCTTTCTCCTAAAATAGATTTGTGGGCAAACCAGAACAAAGAATTCACATACCAAAGTCTGGCCAATTGGGTGCCATTGAGTCATGGTGCAGCGATTGACTTAATTTGGTATTCGTGGTCAACTCAGATTTTTGGAGTCCTTTTTCACCATGGCTTATTAACCAGAAAGATATTCTCACAAACTGGATTTGTCACATTAATTATAATTTCTGGCTTGTAAAATTCTGACTAACTCGAGTGTAATTATACACAATTGCTGCTATGCGCCTGCACAAGGCAACCATCACAATTTGCTTTGATTCATTTTCTTGTTGCTAAGGTACTGGTATTACAATCTTGTTGTGCTTCCAGCAAGGTATTGTCTCTAACCTGCCATATTCAGAGTGAGAAATCTCTCTTCCTGTTATTCTCAGAACCATTGTGAATGGTTTGATAAATTATAAGCGCCTTAATTAGCCCAAAATGTTTGACTTGATCACACGTAGTCTTGCTCTTCACAGTGATTAATAGCCATTGTGTGGTAGTATTTGAGCAGCAACCATTTGAGAAATTCACACAATGAAGGTGACACTGGTTCCAATTTTGCTGAGGTTCACTTTGCATTGCCTCAGCCCATCAGCTCAGGGCCTTCTGTAGCTATAGCACTAGTTGTGATGGAGATCCGCTGGAGAGGGGAGAAATGCTAAGGAATATCCTTTGTGTTATTCTAAAACAGCCTGGTGCTATCCATAGTTAATGTGTAACATTTGGACCAAACTTCTTTTGGAATATTTGTAGCATTTTTTTTCATTTCAGGGATGCAGCTATGGTTGAAATGTTATTTGCAGATATAATGCAAAACGTAAATGAATTTGACTGCTGTAGAAAGACCAGTACCCTGGCAGTGAAGGGCTAGTTTTGGAACCGAGCAACCAGTCCAATAGCACAGTTGGCCCTTGCGTGTGCTTGATGTTTATGTTCTTGTTTTACATTGGAATTTAACACTAAATTGGTGAAATGCTGTGATAGGATCCATGAAAGCTTACTAGTGGGGCAAAATTCCCAAACTCCTTTCAATTAAAATGATTTTCTTTGATGTAACAAAACAAATAGATAATTTGAGCAGTAGTTTAACAAATGGGCTTGTACAAATGGCACTGAATGCGATTGAGATTGTTGGGTCCACATAACAAAACAGTAGCAACAAAATAAAATGCAGATGATTGTTGATCTTTTTTTGAGAAGCATGAAGTGTTTTAGGAACTGAAAGTTGGTTCTTCCCTACAGGGATAATAATAATAATAATAATAATAATCCTTGCATTTGATACAGCGCTTTTCATGTCTTCTCGACGTCTCGATTGAAGAGAAATGATAGCTGTGAGGTCCTGATGACTAAGCCTACATTACAAATAAATGTTGACCATTTTTAGCCACTTAGTGAACAGGACATGCATAGTCATTGGCATGAAGAAAACCAGCCTACTTCTTGTTGCTTTTCGGAAACCAGCTTGTTATGTCAGAGCCAAGTGGCTTTGGATATAAACAGAGGAATTAACTCTAGGGGTAAGACAAGTGTTCATCCCAACACAGGAGCTAGCTACGAATAGGGCTGTCACAATAATGCAATACTTGCACTTGATATGGTGCTTGTGGAGCACTTTACTGGTGTAAGTACAGCTGAAGCTAGATACCTGGCGTAAATGGATTATCTTGAGTATATGTAGTGAAAAGTACCTTAGACAGTTTGCCATAGACAGCTTTCCAGATGAGGTTTGTTGGTCACCACCCTTTGTGGCTGATATGAGCTAGCTCTGCTGGTTTTAAGGTGTACATTGAAAACCTTTTATTAAAAATGTACTCACATAAATGGGGAAGGGGATCCCAACTGAGAGGTGTTTTTGTAACTAGTGTTTGCTAACAGCCCTTGTGAAGTGTTGAATGTTTTGCTACACTTTAGAAATGAAAGTTAGACACCTGCTTTTCATCACCAAAAAATAAATGCTGGAGAAACTCTTTGAAACATGCTAACCACTTCAAAGTTTAAGCAGCATGAAAGGGTCCTGGCTTCTGTGAAGGCTGCATATTTAGCAGGTTTCATTGTGCTTTCATCACTAATTAAAACACGTTTAACTTATATGGAAACACGTGTCAGCTACCTTTTCAATTGTGTTTAAAAGCTAACAAATTATATGCTTTCAAATGACCAGCCGCTCATGTACTTTCCAATTGAAGGGAAATCTCTTCAGGGCCAAATTTCAATGGGAATGTTTTAATAGGTGATTAAACTAAGCCAAAGGGTTAGTTTGAAGTTTTAATGCTTGCTTTGTTTTAGCCCGATTTTTAATATATATTTACCCTTCTCCTAATGCTACTTTCTCTGCCTTGAACCTTACCGTTCAGTAATGCAACCTGCAGGCAGCCTAGGGCCAGCTACTTTGCACCTGGTTCCTACTTCCCTCTTCCAGGACCTGTAACGACAGAAAAACATTGAGCAGAGTGAAACAGAGAATTAGCAAATATAAAGACCGCTGTATAGTTATGGATCTATAATTGTGGTTCTCATGTAAGTTGGACTCCTGTAGTTCAGTGATTAAAGCACTCCCCTCGCAAGTGAGAGAACAGCGTTCGATTCCTGGCAGGGTGAAACCTTGGGCAAGTTTCCTTACTCCACATGCCTGATAATAATTCCTCAAGAAAATAAATAAAATAATAATTTGGTCACTCAATCCATGACTGTGCTGCCACGTTTCGCCCACAAATAGTCAATTCGTTTTACAGTATATTCTGTGAAGCAGTTTGAGATGTCTAGAAAACGTGAAAAGCGCTCTATCAAATGCAAAGATTATTAAGTTACCCTGCGTGAGAGTATATAAATGCAAGTTGTTGTTGTAATTTATGTAGCCATTTTGATGTCAGTAAAAGGTAACAAGTTACTCTGGTGCGGGGGAAGCTTAGTTTTCAGCATGTTATTGCATTGTGCAGTAACCTGAGTCCTCCCACCTATCATCACCTTGCCCCTCCCTTTGCAAGACATCCACCACCACACACTGTACAATGCTCAGATACTATCCTGCGTGAAGGCTGCTATATAAATGCAAATTATGGTTGCCATACTCCCATTACTGTGTACCTTCCTCCAGAAACATTTACAATACATTTTTTGGCCATTTTGGAATTTTTTTTTAAAATGGCTTTCCTCTACATTGTGCCTGATGCCATAACCACCATCCTTTGCACTCACGCACGATGGGCTGGAATAAACAAAGGAAAATGAAATTGCCTCATAAATTAGGCAGTTCTTAAAGGCCAATGCAAGCTAGAAGGTCGCATTTTAGTTAGGTCGGAATAGGTTGTGGTTCTTTCATCTGTTATTTGTGTTGGAAGAGCTGATTTGAGTGTGGTAAACTGCAGCCTCATTGTGCCAACTTCTCAGACCATCTACTTATTTAACTGTTATGCTAAACCCAAACTAAGTCTGCATTTAGCCACTTGGATCCTATTCTGTCATTTATATCCAGAGAGTGTTGCTGGTTCTGGCTGATCCAATACTTTGCCTGTTTAGATCCTCACTGTAGCTGGAGAGTCGTCATTGCTAAAATTGTACCTGCAGTTTTCGTTTCTCTCCTGTTCTGTCTCCACAGAATGTAAAGGTGGGCTTTACCTGCATCAGGAGAGCTGTGTGCGGGAGTGCCCAGCCAGCTTCACTACAGGACTTAAAGATGTTCACAACCCAGTCAGTAACGACATTGAGCCTCTGACAGTCCACGTCTGCATTCCTTGCCATACCTCCTGCCACACTTGCAGCAGGTTGACTGCCAACAAATGCCTGTCCTGCCCACCTCATTCACACTACAATGAAATCGATCTGACTTGCTCACCTCAAATGCAAGTCAGCAGGGAGTCTCCCTCCGAGAATGAGGTTGTTACTGTAGTAGCGGCCTCTGAATCCCAGGTTCTTGCTTGGTTTGCTCTGACCGTCTGTGCCTTTATTATTATTCTATTTTTTATAATGTTTGTAGTTCTTCAGATTCGCTCAGGATTTCAGTTCAGCAAAATGAAGGTCTACACCCTGCAAAATGGGAGCAACAGGAACATATCATATGAAGGCATTTCCGACACGCTGAAGGATGCAGATTTATCCGAATCCGATTCTGAAGAGTTTGATGTAGACGAACAAACCGAAAGAACTGCATTCATAAAGAAAATACAAAGTGTCCTTTAATATTATGTGAACGTTCCATCCCATTGCTGAATGATTGTGTGTCTCATTACCAAGACTATCAGGAAATGTCTTTAAAAACAAAAATATTCCCTCTTGAAAATGCTGTTAGAATACTTTTTGTTTTTAGAGATGTTCCCTTATAGTTGAACTATCAGCAATACTGGAAACTGGACCTTTTTCACAACTCCCAGCCAAGATAGGCCGTTGACCGAGCCCCTCGCAAAGCCTGGTCAAGGATGGAAAGTGCAACTGTGGAATGGAATTTAGTACTTTTTAAAATTTTTCATTTGCTAATAGCACTTGGTGAAATCTCAAGTCTAAAAAAAATCTTATTCTTTGCAAGTTGACATTACAGTTTAGGGGTTCTTCAAAATAATTTGTGTCCCTCAACACTCACTGTGTGAACTGGATCCAAATTTTGAGTTGGTGATGATAAAGACATGCTCCTATTATGTTAATTATTTAACAGCAGAGCCCATGGCTTCCAGCAATGTCATAATTTGGATATATGTAGGGTATAAATCTAGTCATTGAAGATGACCTACAATATTGATATCTTAGAACAAGGCTGTTATTGCAGTATAATAAACTAGCACTTTATTGCATAGTCTATTTTGACCTTTGCTTGGCACCCACCGGTGTTAAATAGTGGCTTCCCCTGATTTCACCAAAGGAATTCTTACCTTTCTGACCTTTATCTTGACAAAGGGTTGTCTCACAGGCCAGTCAGCACAGCAGAATAGGCTGAAACTGGATGCGCAGAGCCACATTTTCTGAAGGTTGATCACAGCAGAGTTTTGGTTTGAAGAATTGCAGATTAACAGGTGGACTAACAAACCCACTGGTGCTCATTTACAATTTAGTGAGTTTTAAAGATCACCAATGCTTAATATAAATGTTTTATCTCTTCCACTTGTGCAGGAAGCACTTACATTTGGGATTCACTTATTTTGTACTTTGTAGATATTAGAATTCAGGAGCAATCATGATTTAAAATGCTACCAAAGTTCCATTCTACAGTTCCTGAATGGTCTCAGATTTTCACGTACTTGGAATACAATACAGACCATCTTTTCCTTTTGGCTTCAAAAGCCTCCTGACCAGTGATGCTTTGCTGTCCTTGCGTTTGTGCTGTGAAAAATGTCTCCACTGCAGTAACTAATGAGCACAAACACTTAATGGGAGGATTTTTTTTCCAGGTTGGGAGGAGGGATGAGGAGGGCTGGTGGTGAATTGGGGATTCGTGACTTTTGGACAAAAACCCTTCAAACCATTGAATGCTCTCAGGTGAACTCACTATTGACATCAGACAATTTATTTCAATGAAGCAAGGTAGCAATGTCGAGATTTATTTTAAACAAGTTATTTTCTTTTTTGTGTCCATTATAGAGCAGCCAAAGTTGACTCACAAGATAACTTTTTACCTTTCCTATAATATATCCGTTTTCTCCTCTTCCTACCTGGTCAAAGTCTCTATCCACTTTCTAACCAGAGCCTGGCCGCTATTAGAAGTTCCAAGTATAATTTGCTCCAAATGCTGAATTAGTGGGCTTCACTGCATAAACACTACAAGGGAAATTATTCAGGCTCATTGAATATGAAGAATGGGCAGTGGATGAGTCCAAAATTGGAAGATAATAAGTGTTTGTCTTTCAGATGTTTGCCTCTGGATAAGTTGAACATTGCAAGTCAACAACAACAAGTCAGTATTTCCATTAACCAGGCTTTGACTGGTGCAGGCATACCAGGAAACCCAAGTACCTCATGTGTCCATTTGTCATATAGGAACCTAGACAAAGAGCACTCACTGGGGATTAAAAGAGCATTCTAGCCAAGCACGTGGACACACCTGCATAACCTAGGGTGTGTCCATTGAGATCAGGCTTGGCTATAAGGCTCCCTGAATCGCTAGTCGTTGCTTTTTGTCTAGGTTGCTATATGAAGAATGGTCTTGCAGGTGGCCTACTTGGGATACCTGATACCCCTGCAACCAGCCAAAATCTTAACAGAAAATGAGAGGAACTTTGACTTGTTTGAACGCGTGTTGAGTGGCACGGTGTGATTTAAATTTTATCAAATAAAGCAATATGATTTACGGGCCTTATGAGAGGGGCACATGGTTAGCAATCAATGCATTCATAACAGTAAATGTAAATAATTGTAATATAAATCATGCTTTGATAATATGTAACTTTTTCATGTATAAATCAGTTGAGCAGTGTGTACGCACTTGTGTACATCGCAGGGAGCCTGGGTCCGGTGATTGCAGTGTGGCTATGGGAGAATTTGCCTTTGTATTTTGCCCTGCAATGCATTGGGATAAACACCCATGTAGGTGGGGAAGGAATATAAAGAACTAAACAGAGCAGTGTCACACTGTAACACTCTAGCTTCTTGCACAGAACCATGATCATGTTGCATCCTCTGCACCAAGGTTCATTCCTCATTGCTCTCTTGGTGCCCCAACCATCACTGTAAGGTACCGAGGGGATGAGGAGACTCATCAGCTTTTTGTACCATAATGTGATCAATTCAGGCTCAGAATGATCAGTTCCGTGCATCTCTGAGACCTTGTCACTGGATTTGAAGACTGCCCCAAATTGCCTTGTTCGGAATGCACTTTAGACTGAGTGACAATCTAGGCTTTTGCTGAACCCTAAAAGTATCGCCCACAAAATAGCACTTGTACGATACAGGTTTTAGTATTGTGTGTGTTTGTAAGAATCCCACCATATTCCACGCGACCCAAACTCTGAACACAATCCAGGTAAAATAACACTACTTCCTATTTGGGGGGGGGAAAACTATTGAGTTCTATTTGAGTCACAAGTGCAAAAGCATTATGAAAATGAAGAGATTATCCTGACCCTTTTTTGTGTGCTTCCTCTGTTGATGGCAGAATTCACTGTTCAAGTTCTAAATTGCCGGCCTCCAACTGCATCATCTCCCAAGCCTCTGTGAGCCGCTGTAATTGATCTATGGGCGATGACTCTGGTAGAGAATAGTTCCTTGCAATCCCATTAATCAATCGCAATTAAGCTTTTTTTATAACCATGCAAATGCTGCAGAAATGTTGCACAATTATTTCTGATTATGTATAGCTAGAATTCACAGTAATTGCAAATACTTTGGCGAGACGGGTTCTTTTCTTTTCCTCCATTTTCTCCTTCCCCCCCTGTTAATATTTCACAGTATCACACTTGTGTTCATCATTCCAAATCCAGATCTTATTAATCACACCACCCGAAAACTACTCGCAAATGCGGAGTTCAATTGAAAGGGCTACATACCCAATTGCAGTCGTGTTCCACAGTGCAGTGCATTAAACACGAGACATTGGTTGCCTTGCTGTGATGTGAAGTCCCGTTGCTTTGATGGTGATTATTATTGTTGGACAATTTACCAAGATAAGTGAACAGACATATTTTTGTACAATATTATATAGTGCACAGTAATTTTCTTGTAATATAAAAATGGCTTAAAACAAATTACTCTTTTATTATTTAATGGATGTGGAAATACTGTCATAGAACCTACTTAAAGAAATTAAAGAACAGTTTCAAAGCAAAATAGTTCAGATCATTCCTGTGCTCTCATAGACTTGTGAACAGTTGGAAGTTTCACTGGAAACATTTACTTTTGCAATATTCATGTGTCAACCTAGTTCATTTGGTAACACTCTCACAGCTGGGTCAATGCACCAAATTAGGACTTGACTTCCTAGTGTATGCTGACATTCCAGAGTAGTACGAGGACATCATTGCATTGTTAGAGATGCCATCCTTTTTGAGATTACGTTTAGGTTTTATATGTCCCTCCTTCAGGTGACTCTATTTGAAAAGAGAAGGGAGTTTCTCCTGAGGTGCTGGCCAATAATCCTCCTAAATGATCATTCACCTCATAACTGTTAGTGGGACTTGCTATGGACAAAATGGCTGCCCCGTTTGCCTTAAAAATGCATGCCATTAATTACTGTGCAGTTCTTTTTTTCCTCAAATAGTGTTGTGGGATCTTTCGTGTCTATGTGAAATAACTTCCTTTAGTCACACATCATATACCTGCACTGATTGATGCGATATCAAACACTACTATCAAACAACAGTGGATTAGATGCAATACACATGATCCCTGGCAGTGCATCCTGGCAGGAAGTCACATTTTTTAAGAAAAATGGATGTGGTGAATACAATGGCAATTTGAGCCCTCCTGGGAAATCCAACGTATCTGCATAACATACATTACATTTTAGGTTAAACTAGAAATAGATTTAAAAAGCTTAAAAGCAATTTTTTGATATTGCAATAAAACCATGGCCTCACAACATCCTGCAGATACTTGTGCAGAGATTGACACAAGTTAGAATGTGAATCCTAACTGAGGTCCATTTCACTGTTTATGCTTTTTCTTGTGTGTGCTGCCAAGGTTGAAATCCCTTTTTCCAGTCGTTTTATTATATCAGAATTTGGAACTTGACAGGTTTTAACTTACAATTTGCGAACTCAAGAATCACAAGATTCAGTTCTGAACACTCGGATAGTTTCTGATAAAGATATTTCCGTTGTTGTCCTCAACCGTAGTGGGGGGGTGGAGGCAACAGTGGCTTTTGCAACAGGAATGAGGAAGCTGCTACAGATCATTCAGCTGACTGTCACTTTATAATTTGAATTCCCAGTTCCTCATTCTTTCACCATCTTCAAGTATCTTATCTCTTTTTAATCACCTCAGTTTATACTTCTCTGGCCATATAGTTAATTTACTTTTGAAGAAGTAGCTCCAGGTTCAGGGTTGCAAAGGGCAATTTCAGGACAGACACCCAGGAAGGATGCCTTTACCCAGATAATTAACGGTTGGTACAGGTTAGCAAGATCAAGGTGGTTGAAACCAAGATGCTGAACTCGTTATTTTTTTAAAAAAAACAGTTCAAGGAGAGGAATTGGGAATGATTGTCTTAAAAGATGAGAAGGCAGATCTTAAAAGGGTATTAATGACCAAACCTTTACTAAAGAGACCATTTTCAATTTCTAACAAAAGCCGGAAACCGATCACGTTAGAGTGGGGTTTCCTGGGGGTCGGCATGGTGCGCTTCCAAACGAAGGAGACCTCGTTTGTACGAAACAGAATACTTTGTTATGTATTTAAAAACGGAGACGCAGACTCAACCTCAGAAGAGGGGAAGTCACTGGGTGGTTTGGGTTTGATTACACATGTGAGTGTGAATGTTTGGGCTGGACATCTGGGGAGGTGACTGAAGCAGATTTTGTCAGCAAATTCCGCAACAGGCTAGCTGCTTCACTTGGACGCAGTTAATCAGTTGAGTTAGTTCATTAGTGGCTGTCAGGTGCTGTATCTGATGTCGATAAGAGGAGTCCATTTTGAAAACACAATTTTCCAATTTTCTTTCTATCAAGCCATTTTTTCGATGGAAAATTATAAGTAAGACTCGGTGTACTGTACTGTGGGAGAGGAATTTAAAGTTAAACCTGTTAGTAAAACATTATATATAAATGAGGAAGTAGACGGTTAAAAAAGACAAAGATAGAATAAAGGAAAAGAGGAAATCGGAGTGGATAAATAGAGGCATGGAATGCTTCAATGCAGTTAAACATTCTTCTTTTGTCAATGTTTCTTCTCATCTACCACTGCTTCTTACTGAGGTACAGTTTCACAGGCAGTGAAAACCTCTGTTATTTGACATCCATGCACTTTCTGAGTCCAGTTGATGAGTGTGTGTAGGGAGCAGCTACAGTAAAACTCGCAGAAGTCTGATCTGTAAAAATCATATAATCGCTTAAGTCGCACATCTGCCCAGGTCCCATTCAACAGTTTATATTCTATGCACTTTTGACATAACATACTTTGCATAAGTCATATGATCCAAACTGATATGACTCGGGTGAGGTTTACTGTATACCTATCCTGTTCTTATCTGATATATACCACATTACAGTCTCATTTTCCAGCCAGGGTATCGATGAGGAGCAGGAACCCTGGCTTCTCTCTCTCTGGAGAAGGGACATCTGCGGCTAATTGTGGCGCTCCAAACTGCAGCTCAGCTAAATTAGTAACAGATTATAAAGGAGCCTACACCTTTAAAATCTGTATGATTTAGTACTGCACCAGAGTTTGTTTACTCATTAAACACGCAAGGAAATTTTGCTTAAGGAACTGGTTCCTAAGATGAAGGACAATGACTGGGATCTACTTCCTTGAATGCTTTTGCCTCAGCCCCCATGTTATTTTGTGTTTCCTCCAATTCTTCCCAAGCTGCTCACCATTCAGGGACTGGAAGGACCTACTCCCAGATCTGTGCTGCTCTTTCATAGGTAAGGGCAAGGTCACGGGAACTGCTCACTGAGTCTCTCTCTCTCTGGGGGAAAGGACACAGACTCTGTCCTGCACACAACTGAGATTAGGAACTCCTATCATTGGGGGAGGGGAAAGAAAGAGAATTGAAAATCATACCATTTGGTAGCTCATTGTCTTGGACTCTAACTAAGGGTCATTCAAGGTGTTTTATCCACAAAATACAAGCATGGATATTTTTCAGATTTTTTTAAGATCTATTTTTGGCATCAAAAGACAGGAAGAAAATTGATACAAGTGAACCCAGGCAAATTCAGTGAAAATCTTTCTTTGCCTCACCTTCTCTCACTGAGGTTTTCTGTGTGTATGAGCGAAACGGATGTGTCTCCCTCCCGCTGATGGATCTATAATGTTCACTTTTCTATCTCTTGTCTTTACACTCACTTTCTCGCACCTTTTTTAAAAAAAAATCCTGTTGTGTGTATGCATTTGGTTATAGGCAAATTGTTTGTCCAGTAAAAACTATAGGTACAACTGAATTCACAAATTGGATTGATCAAATTAAGAAAAACAGTTAGTTTTCTCATTCACCTGCACCAAAAAGTGAGTATTTTTCAATGAAAATTAATAAAATCTGACTTTAATGGTTCTTAGCTCTAATGTACGTATTATTGCTGTGCCTGTTCCTTCTGGATTTCTCTCAGGTATAACCCAGTAAAGTGATATCAACAACCTTTATCTTCTGGTGACCACATGCTCAAATATCTCGTTGTCTTTCTCCTTTCTCCCTGCCTTGAAAATCCATCTCAGAGGAAAATCCTCTGATCCACATCAAAATCCCCCTCCTTCTCGTTGATCCCCATTTTCTTTTGCAAACATTTTTGAGACATCCTATGTGAAAGATACTACATAAGGACACGTTGTTTTGGAAATTGATAATATTTCCATTTAATTGGTAAGTTAAATTATAATCATATCCTTTATAATCATTATCCTTGCATTTGATATTATGTTGAAATGTGTCAAAGGATTGCACAGAGAATCACAGGTAGATATTCCATTCCTGCCTAAAACTGTTGCTACTGTAGATAATAAACTTATGTATTTAATCAGTTAAAAGCTAATAAAATTTCTACGCAATACACTTCTTATACAGTTGTGGAGTGTGCTTATTATGAAATGAACATGTAAGAATGCTGTAATGTTTGGAGGTTCTGGATCAAACAGTTTGAGCTTTGACATGTGTTTCTAAACAACAACAAATTACATTTGTATAGCATCTTTCACATTAGGAGGATTTCCCAAGGCGCTGGACAGTCAGGGATCTGCACCCAGGCTGGTGGTTGGGATCAGGAGGGGTGGAAGGCGGGGAGGGCAGTGGTAGGAGGGTGACTGAAGGTACAATCGAAAAGGAGGGTCTTGAGATGGGTCTTGAAGGAGGCGAGGGATGGGGAGAGGTGAAGAGACTGTGCGTTGGGGTTCCAGTGGGTGGGGTCAGAGGAGCTGAAGGCCCGACAGCCAACGGTGGGGCAAACAAGGCGGGAGACAACAACAAATGACAATTGTATAGCGCCTTTCATGGGAGAACTGTGTTGCCAATAGTTTATGTGCTTTGTATTATAGGGTAAACTTTTGATAACGCATCACTCCAAAGGAAAAAGGGCTCAGTGACAAGTTATCCAGAGTGGCGAGTTCGGCATAAATATAAATACATAATTAAATGTAGCAAGAATATTGCCAGCAGGTTGACTAAAGCATTCGTGACAAGTTTAACCAGGATCGAGTTATTATGGGTTTACTGTACAGCAAGGTTATGCCACTTAAGAACATCTTAATTTTTTAGCTTATTTTCTTTTGTAAATTGTACTTACATTGTTGACGGAAGCCAATTTAAGAACAAACTTCAATCTAGCTGGCTGGTCCGGCAGCTGGAAAAGGTTGTACCCTGGCCCCAAAACCACTCTTTCAGTTTCTTATCTACAAGATAATAATAATCCTTGCATTTGATATAGCGCTTTTCACGTCGGGAGGACGTCCCAAAGCGCTTCACAGAACACACTGTAAAGTGAATTGACTGTATATTTGTGGGCGAACGCGGCAGCCAATTGCGCACAGCAATGTCCCACAAACAGTCGTAGATTGAAAATGACCAATTCATTATTGTTTTTTGTTTTTGGAGGGATTATTATTAGGCTCTGTGTGGAGTAAGGAATACTTGCCCAAGGTTTTGTCCTGCCTGGAATTGAACTCGGGTCTCTCGCTTGCAA